CCTAACAAACCTGGCTGCCTTTCCAAGATCAGGCCCTCAAAGTGTATGACAACACCACTGCCCAACGTAAAACCCCAGTGCAAAGCCCTGGAAAAAAGTGTAACACCTCACCCACTACCAACGTGCTACACAAAAAGGACAATTTAAAAACCATCCTTTGAACAACTACAAACTGGTTGCCAGAGTATCACTTACAATATATCTATTAATCTTAATCACATATTGCTAAAAAAATAACTTCCAGATCAGTTCCTATTAGTCATATTTAATCATAGAATGGTTTGGGTTGGAAGGGACCTTGAAGATCATCCAGTTCCAATCCCCCTGCCAGCAGCAGGGACACCAATTACCTACCGATCTTTCAGTTTAACTGTGCCGAGATGAGCTTTTGCCCAAGTAAAGGCTGGTAGCAGTGAACAAAGCCTTACAAAATATACTGGTAGAGTACTGAGGATGCAGCATGTAACCATTCCTGCCTGTCATGGTTTAACCCCGTGTGATGGTCTCACTTGGCCAGCCCCTGGCTAGCAGCTAAACAAAGCCACTTGCCCACTCCCCCGCCCAGGGGAAAGGTAAGAGAATTGGAGGGGGAAAGGTAAGGAGACTTGTAGGTTGAGATAAAAACAATTTAATAATTGAAATAAAATAAAACTTAATAATAATTATAATAATAATTATTATAAAATATGCAAATGAGTGATACACAGTGCAATTGCTCACCACCCACAGACCAAGCCCAGCCATTACCAGATAACGATCCTGGAGGAGCGACAATCCTGAACCAAAACCTCAGACCTGGAAGAGCAAGAGCCCGAGAGAAAGCCAGAGAGAAAGCAAACCCCCACGAGAGAGAGACCCTCATATGAATATGACATTATATGATATGGAATATCCTGTTGACATATCCAAAGGTCAATTTAGCTGATTAATTTAAATATTCCTCACTCCCTCTAGACCCTGCACTTGTAGACTAGCACAGCATGAAGTCCTTCGACTTCCAGCAACAACTGAAAACACTGGTCTGTTATCAACGTTCTTCTCATAACAAATCCCAGCTGAACACAAAACACAGCGCTGTTCTGGCTACTAAAAAGAAACCCAGCTCTGTCCCAGATAAAAACCAGGACAACCCCAGCCAGCAACTAAGCCCCACACAGCTGCTCCCTCACTCCTCCCTGATGGGATGGGGGAGAGAATTGGGAGGGTAAACATGAGAAAACTCATGGGTTGAGATAAAGACAGTGTAACAGGTACAGCAAAAGCCGTGCACACCAGCAAAGCAACACAAGGAACTCATCCATCACTGCCCATGGGCAGGCAGGTGCTCAGCCACCTCCAGGGAAGCTCCATCACATGTAACGGTCACTTGGGAAGACAAACGCCATCACTCTGAATGTCCCCTCTTCCTTCTTCCCCCAGCTTTGTATGCTGAGCATGACACCACGCAGTGTGGTACATCCCTTGGGGCAGCTGGGGTCAGCTGTCCCAGCTCTGTCCCCTCCAGGTCCTTGTGCACCCCCAGCCCAAATGCTGGTGGGGTGGGGGGAGAGGCAGAAAAAGCCTTGACCCTGTGTGAGCCCTGCTGAGCGATAACTAAAACATCCCGGTGTTATCAACACTGTTTCCAGCACAAAACAGAGCCCCAGACCAGCCTCTAGGAAGAAAGTTAACTCTATCCCAGCCAAACCCAGCACACTGTCTTGTGAGAAGTTCACCACAATACAGAGCTAAAAAAACCTGTTTTTCTTTTACAAGGAGAAAAAAACCCCAAACCAGTAGCTTTTCAGAAAGCCACATCAAACCAACATGTATCTCACTCCACACTTTTTTCCTGGCTTCTTTTATGAACCAAAACCCAGAAATACTCAAGGCAAGAGAGAACAAAACCACAAGGCACAGTTACTTTCCATCTCCCTTACATTCACACAGGGACAGACACGCCAGTCTTGATAAACCCACCAGTAACGGATATTCTCTAGCAGTAGTTGCTTATCAGAAACACAAAAAGCAAAAGAAAAAAAATTAAGAAAATTAAGAAAAACTGTTATTTAAGCATATAAAGAATACATATGTGAGGTGGTTTAGCTCTTTTGGCTTGTGAACAAACCCAGTTGCTCTCTCGCTCTCACCCCCCAGGGAGCAGGGGAGAGAACTGAAGGATAAGGGCAAGGAGACTCATGGGTTGAGATAAAAACCATTTACTAATTAAAATAAAATAATAATGATAGTAACAGAATATACAATTGAGTGACGCTCAGTGCAATTGCTCACCCCCCGCTGACAGATGCCCAGCCTGTGCCAGCCAGTGATCCCGGAGCAGAGACAGTCACTGAATCACAACCCCAGAAGAGCGAGAGGCCGAGTAATTCCTGAGAGAATGCCCCCAATTTCCAGTCAGCCCTGGTTAATGCACTGACATGACGTGACATGATCTGGAATATTTCACTGGCACATCCCAATGCCAGTTTGGGGTTTGCTACTTACTACATTTCTCCTTCCCAGCCTCCCAGTCCCAATGCAGCTGTGAACTGGCCAAACAGGATGACCTTGGGCTCCGGCAGCAACTAATAACATCAGTACTTCATCAACATTCTTCTCATAACAAATCTCACACTGAAACTAAAACACAGCTATTCTAGCTACTAAGAAAATTAACTCTATCCTAGTGATACCAGGACTATATGGAAAAATAGGGGAGGGAAAAAAAGGCAGAATATGCATTTCTCAGAGAAGTCTTAACAACGAATATAGCAACACGTTTTTACCCTTCACCAGACATAAGGAAGCAAGTATTCCCAAAATGATACCTCTATCCATTGCCTGCTACTCTGCAGAGGAGCTGCTGTGGATGCCAAAGCATACTCTTCACCACTAACCCTTCACCCAGCACTGCAAACACAAAAACAAATCCTGCCACACTGATGGAAAAGAACATGACTCCGAGAACCCCAAAATACAGCTGGATGTGAGCCTGTATGAGCTCATCCTTACACAGCACTGAAGATTTCCTGCTCCCTAAGGGAAAGAAGTCCAGCTCCAAATAGATCCCCATTTTGATATTTGGGGAAAAAAAAGTTATTCTAGCAGAGTACATGCTAGGAAAGGGTTAATTTTCTTCTCAGCAGCTAGAAAGCGCTGTGTTTTGGTTTCAGGGAGGATTGTTATGAGAACAATGTCCATAACTACAAGGACACTGTGCTTGGGCAGTTTCCAAGAGCAGAGGACAGGAAGAGGGGGGTGGAGAAGAAAAGTGCAGTAGTCAGTAAAAC